AATAAATAAATGATAAGTTTGTTATTTAAAATTCTTAATTTCATAACTGCACAGCTGAAATCGGTGGTGCTATAAAAGCAGATAATCCTTAATCTGTTAAAATAATTAATTCTACTTTTAATAGAAACTAAGCCACCATTGATAAAGAAAGTCTGCTTTAAACAGCAAATAAAGGCTCTGGAGGCGCTATTTATTACACTTGCAATAATTAATTACTAAATTGTAAATTGACATTAGAAGGAACAAATATATTCTAAGATAACTTCGCTTAGATATAGGGAGGTGCAATTTTTTGGGATGAATTAGAGCCTATATTCATAAAGAATGAAATCAAATTTATCAATAATAAAGCAATGTATTATGGAGATGATATTGCTTGCTTTTCATAATCTCTAGAGTCTATTACTTATTAAGATTATTACAATCTAATGATTCTGCTTGGATTATAAACTTAAGATGATTATTAACTAAGACTATTATAAGATTCTCTTAGTTAGATAGAATAGCAAAGGAGTGGTGGGAGCATTCCAATTGTCTATATGTCACTAAAAGATTAATATGGGTAGATAGTTGGATCAGATTTTAAAAGTAAGGTAAGAGTAGATGTCGAAACAACAAACTTGGATGCTAAGCAAATCTTATATCCCCCAATCCTTGAGGGCACTCTCTCTTTTGATATAATAGGGGGCATTGCAATAATAAACTAAATTTAAATTGTTGGAAATCCTGGTAGTCCTTACAAGCTTGTTATTACAACTGATGGAATTGATTAATCTAAAAAGTCAAATAAAGATAAAATGGAAGCAATTGGTAAATCTAGTCTTGATCTTGACTTGAAAGTTTAACTGAGAGAATGTGAAATAGGAGAATAATTTACAGCAGTTGGCAAGTGCTAGAAGTGTGAAGAGAGCTTTTCTTTGGTGAAAATGTCATCACCTGGATTTTGTGAAATTTGTCCTACTGAAAAAGCGATTTGCAATGGAGGAGCTGAAATAGGTCCTAAACCTGGGTTTTGGAGAAAAAGTAATTCATCTAAGGTATTTTCTAAATGTCTTTTTGAACCTGCTTGTTTGGGAATGATTCCTCCTCAAAACAATCTCTTGGGAGATTGTTTAAATGGATATTAGGGTATTCTATGTGCTGACTGTATAAATGGCTACTCTAGAGATAAAGATTACTAATGTGCAATATGTCCTGACCCTTCTTTGAATATACTAAGACTAATCTCGATATTCATAGCTATTGTTATACTAGTTGTTCTAATGATAAGATAAACTTTGAGAGGTGCTCAAGATATCAACAACGTAACAAGTATATACTTAAAAATCTTGCTCAATCATTTCTAATTAATTCTCATGACAGCTTCTTTTAATTTCTATTGGTCATAGCAAATAATTAGCTTTTTTACTACAACAAAATAAGTTGCAACTTAAACAACTTAAGTTTTTAGCTTTGATTGCTTTTTAGACACTGGAGGTGAGAGTAAAGGTTCTCAAATGTCAAGAATATTTTTCTAAAAATTAATAATCATAGCATTATTACCATTCTTGCTTGCAATTATATGCTATTTAATATGGAATATCTATAGCTACTTGATGAAAAATTTAGTTGAAGTTGGCGGTAAAATAATGTCTAGTTTAGTAATCTTACTTTTCTTGGTACATCCTAGTTTAGTCACTTTTTCCTTTAATGATTTTAAATGCAAAGAAGTAGATGGATAATTAAGAGTATATGACGATTTGGAAATCATTTGTTGGTCTCCAGAGCACACTTTTTATAGCTATTTCGTAGCTCTTCCTTGTATAATAGTATGGGGATTAGGAATTCCATTTTTTGCATTAGTTATTTTAATTAAATAGAGAATGAAATTAGAGAACTTTGATACTAGATAAAAATATGGTTTCCTCTACAGGGGATATAGAAAGGAATACTTTTATTGGGAAATTGTGATAATGTATAGAAAAATCTTAATAATATTTACTTCAGTATTTGTTAGCAACTTTGGAATAATTGCACAAGCACTAATAATATTCTTTGCTCTCATTGTGTTTTTGATGATAAATTTTAAGAAATAACCTTTTAATACTCAGATTCTCAATGATCTAGAAACACTTTCATTAATAACATCAATGATTACTATCTACTGCGGTATATTCTTTATCTTAAATAAGCCTAAGATTTGGATCGAAGAAAACCCTGATTATGCGAGAGGCTCAGTATCATTATCAAATGGCTTTCAAAGATTGTTTTTTGTTCTAATCCTAAGCTCAAATTTGTTCTTTTTCCTATACTGGAGTTTAAAAATGTATGAAGAAGGTAAGGCTAAATTTAGAGAAAAATTCCCAAAAATCTATTTAGTATTATGTTTATGCTTCAAATAGACCAAATTTGAAAAAGAGATAATAGCTTATGATATTGATAAGCAAAATATAAACTACTATCAATAATTAAACGGCTAACTAAAGCAGATAAAGTTGCTATTTAGAAAAGGCGAGCTAAAATTAAACAAAAATAACATAGAAAGACTAATGATTCATTTAAACAGAGAGTAAATTAAATAATTAGTGAATCCTAAATTGATGTAAAGAATTTAAACCGAAAATTTTGAAAAATAAAAATAAAAATAAAGACTGAAGCGACTAAGTTACTCATCAACTAAAATTTAATAATAAAAAGATTCAGCTGATAATGATAGTAATTTTGCACATTATTACAGAGATTAGGAAAGTAGGATTTAGACCATGTAGACTGAAGATTCACAGTTAGATATTAATTTTGAAAGAAAACAAAACTTGAGTAATAATGAGCTCCCTTTAAGTTATTAATTGAATAAAATCCTTGAAAAAGATAAATTCTTGAAAGAGAGCAAATTTCACAACGTGCCAAGTAGCTTAATGTCCTCAGCAATCCTTTTAGCAAATCGAAATAATCTTGACCTTGAAAATAAAGAAATTAGTAATTCATCTTTAATACAGTACTCTATCAATAGTAAAGTAAAAAAATAATATTAAGATAAAATCTAATACAGTAAATCTTATTTCTAGAATAAATATATTCCTGAGATTAAACAGAAAACTCTAGCTAAATTTTAAAATAAAAAAGTTTCAGGTTCTCCAAATTTAAAACTAAATTAATAAGCCTATAGAATTGATTCTTTAAACTAAAGTTAAATATAGTTATTACAAAAGAGTTTTCTTTTTTCTGAATAAAACTCTAACAGTTAAGAGTAAATCTCAGAAGTTGAGATCGAAGAAGAACAAAGTAAACAAATAAAAAATATACTCAAAATTGCTAGTGATTACGATTAGATTTAGAGATAAAATCTTTTATTAATTTCAAAAAAGTAAAATAAAAACAATAAAGCAGGTGTGAATGATGAACCTAAGCTAGAATTTGAAAGTCAAAAAACATAGAGATTTAATACAAAGAAATCTTAATCAGAATATAAAGAATAACAAATTAGCGTAGATGTATATTCAGATGATTTGTCAGATGATCACATTTTTAGAAGTTAAAACTATATGGAAGAAGGACAAAATAAAGACCTTAAAGAATTAGAAATTGAAGAAATATTTGGAATCAATGATCAATTATTCGATTATGAAGAAGAGCCAGTACAATATGACAATGAAAATGTCCTTATGTTTTCTAACCTAGAAGATTAAAATAAACTACTTGAAACTATGGCATTAAGATTGTTGCCTTAAAGAACATATAAAATCAAATAAATCGACAACATAAACTAAACTCAAATAACTGATAAATCAAATTCAAAGCAAGGCGCTTCAACTAAACAGGAATTGGCAGATTTTCAAATTGAAAAAAATTAATAATAGAAAGAGAATGATCTTGATTAAACAGTTTTATAATTGCAAGATTTTACTTCTGATGAGGAAATAATATCAAAGAGAATTAATAGAAGCTATTAAAGTGAGGTCTTTTCCTCCTTTAAAAATCCAGATAGTAGAGGTTCTCATTAATGAGAGCATCCAGAAATATTGGATTTATAGGCGAAATTAAAAAAGTTTATCCTTGAATATAAGGAAATTAATTTCTAAAAGTTTGATTGTTAAAATGTCGTTATTAATCAACATCACCATTGTTCTGCTTTTGATATATTAGCAATCATAAAGAAAACTAAAATACGCATATAAAATAATACAATTTACAAGATTATTTTGCTAATTTATTTTATTCACATTTGATTTATACATCATGGGGTTTTGGGGTTTTGGGGTTTTGGGG